GGCTGAAACGTAATGAAGGTATTAGGTATATAATTATCATTTAAGTATATACAACAATATAACATAATACCGGTTTCATGAAGGGTTCCAATGGGAATGATATACGGGAAATATATAGTTAGAAGCGGACAATGCCGCGGGAAACGGCTAGTATTAATACTAATAATTTACACCAATTTACGATACAATAATGTTATCTCTTGATTCAAAGGTAACCAATTAACTGCTGCTGTATTTTGTCGAATCATAGGTAACCATATTGACAACAAAAACAATATATTTATAGGTATCTAAGCACAATAACATGCCAATTTTCTTCTTTTTCTTTAAAGATTAATCTTATTGATATTTTTAAAATACTCATATAGACCTAATCAAATTTCTTTATAGCAAAGGTAAGTCTGTTATAAAAAAAAATTGGTATTATTGAGACGTGCAACGGCAGCTTTAAAAGTAGCTGAATCCGAACAAAATGTAACGACAATAGTAACACTTAACGACATCGTTATCTTGAGCCGATCATTCTCTGATACTGTAACAGACACACTTGATATATTTCACAAGGACTGCCGCCGTATTGTTCAATAAGAAGCAGTATTTAAGTGACAGGCAGTCTGTCATTAAATCTTATGATTTTATCAAGACTCCCTTTTCACAGTAACTAAGTAGATAATTGATATTATCATGATACTACTTTGACAATTGTATAACACTAAACTAAAATACAAGTTACATAGGAACCTCTCAATTACTTAAGTTACTTAAGAGAAATTGTTTTCAGGAGTTTTAATAGGAATAATAGAATCCATAACAATAATTTGCATTTCCTGTAATGTGATGCGCATTTGTGCTAGAAAATCAAATAGTACAAGACATTTGTTCCGCCAACACGCAAAAACCAGTTATTGGATACAGTTTTCACATTTACCTTCCTAACGGTTTAACTTAAAACCTGTTGTTAATTCAATCTTGATAGCACTTATCTAGAAATGGTCTATCTTATTGATTTTTATTCTTACGCGACAAAATATTATAAATTATTGGTGTGATTTTTTTTATCAAGAATTTATTAAAGCGCTGAAAAGAGATACTGGCTACTTTTTATCACAAAAAATACAATCCCATAGGAAAAATATAATTCAATAACTTATTTATTAAAAGTCGGAAATACTCATAAACTATATTTACCATTGAATACTTTATTTCCATGAATAAATTTAAAAATACTTTTATTCATTTAAACAGGTTGTACTGGTATTACATTAATTTAAAATATCTATATTTTCACGGAATATATCGATTACTAAAATATTTTCATATACATATTTTATCAAAAACAACGACATGACACGATAACTAAGTGCAAATTAACTAACAAATTAGCTAAGAAGATTTTTGTTGCTAGTTTCATCGCGAGAATACAGAAAGAGAATAAATCATAAGTGTTTAAACTTATAGACTTCCTAAGTACTGTATATGGACTTAATATAACGTACTAGGTAGTTTAGACATAGTCCCTTTTTGTGGAACTAAATTGCTAAATTCAATTTCTAGTTATTGTAATTTTTTGACATCTGGTTTGAGTTTTAACATATGAATAAATTTTACATAACAAATTGAGAATTTAAAAGTTTGACTTCTATGTAGTTTATGTATTTTTTTGAATATATTTAAATACATGTTATATTTACTGTTATTATTGCGAGGAAGGGATTCTCGTGAAAAAATTTTTATACACTAGCAGATAATACATATTTATATATACATTCATCGCACAAGATATATATGTACCTATAAGATTATCCATCATATAAGATTTTTCAGTGTAGTAACTTTTTACTCTTTACTTTGTTAGTTATTCCTGATTCTAATCCAAATGTGTACATTTGAAATTCTTTGAAAATGCCCATCTCGCCAGATACAAATTTACAGATATATAATATTATTAATAGATAATCCTCATATAAAATTGTTATTTTATATTTTTGTAAGTGTATACGTACTACAGAAAATTAAAAATGTACTTATGCCTTAGAATATCTACATTAAGGCGGAATTTCGCGAATCAATTATTCAAATTCATTCATTCATTTCAGCCACTACCTGTTCACAACTAAACATAAGCTTTCCCCATAAGGGAAGTTTTGCCAGCAGTTACGAGTACCAGTACCACACTTGGCAAGCGGGTTGGCAACCGCAGTTAGGCTTTTAGAGATGTTTTAAGAGGGATGCTGCTGCCCATCCGTCAACCAATATATTTCTTTAGTCACTTCCTACGAGACCCACAGGAAATAAAGTGTTAGTCTATTTTATGCCAGAGTCGCACGATAGAATACTTATGATAATTCAAATACTACAGAAAATTTTAGTCTACTGAAATAACTTACAGCTGTACGTGTCGAATTAGTATGTATGGGTAGTATTAGCATGTCTCTTTAAAATTTTCACTTTCACTGGTAGATTACGCCCTTAAATGTATATGACTATTTGCATTTCATTCAGTATACAAGTATATTTTTGTTATAAGCACAAATTATTGATATACTTGCAGGTAGAACTTGTTTAAACCTTTTATTTTAAACAACATGACGAGATCCTATTTAGTTACAGCATCCATACTATCTGGCCATGATTCACACAAAATTTATTATCCAAATTTTTTTACCTGATAGGAGTTAAACAGTCACCAAATGGTATTTTATTTTTATTTTATTTCTTTATTGTACACACCAGTTATAAGAATATGACAGAAGTATTGAAATGTACAAAGGCGAGCTTAACTCTAATAGAGTTTACTTCCAGCAAATCCAAAGCGGAACGGAGCATCATTGTCAGCGGACAGAGCAGTGTATAATATTGTGACAATTTTTAAACAGAGAATATTAAATTAATTACATTATACTTAATCGTACATATACATATACATAATTATATACCTACATCTATGCATATACTTAAACACACATACACACACACATATACATATAATATACCTACATATATAGATAAATAAATATATGTTCATAGAGATAGAAGATGCTCTTTAAGTCTACTCTTAAAAATGTTTAGGGATTGACTCTCATGGATAGATATGGGAAGAGAATTCCACAGTCTAGCAGCATTTAAGGTAAAAGATTCATTATAGCGCGTAGATAAGTGTGAAGGGATTGTAAGGATAAGAGATTTCGTTGAACGGGAGAACACGTGATGGGGTACTAGAAAATCAAATCGTTCGCGAAGATAGGAGGGAAAAGAAGGGTTATATAAAACGGAATATAAAAACGACATTATATGAAAATCTCGACGCCTTCGAATTGGTAGCTAATTCAATTTTGTTCTATAGGCGGAGAAATAGATATAGACACAGACACATGATCGTATTTACGCAGACCATATATAAAGCGTATGTACAAATTCTGTAATTTCTCTAATTTGTTCAAAAGCTCTTCAGTTGCATCAAGGTAAAATATGTCAGCATAATCAAGAACAGGTAACAGTAGGGCTTGAGCCAAAGTAAGCATTGTCTTAAATCGTAAGAGTTTTTGCAATCGTTTAAAAGAATGAAATGAAAAACATAGCCTTTTGCTCACAGCATTAAAGGTAATAAAATAATAATAAAATAGAAGACCTTTTGCTGTCGAAATTATAACCTGAGACAGCGAATTCTGGGGTATATATGTATACCTATTTATATAATGATAGTGTTAATGCAATCCTTAGCTAACTTAGCAATCGCAATGCCAAACGCCTATATCTGTGACTAAAGGTATCCCTAACTAACTGATACGATAAACCTAATATGCAGAAATTCGCTATGAGACTGACATAGTCACCCAGGTGTACAGAAATTATAATAAAAGAAATATCTTTTATATCTTTGAGAATACCTGTATGAAAATATAAATAAAAGAGATATTTTATTTTTATGTATATATGTATATGTATTATTGTATACTGATATAAATTTATTTTGATTTTAATTGTACGAGTTACTTATATATGTATGTCAACATATTTATTATTTTTTAATATAAACATCTATAATGTTTCCTTCTATTATTGTACGCATACTGCCTGCTAGTAGTTAATGCTCATTTCCACTCAGGGTTTGCTGGAAGAGAACTCTTACAGAGTTAAGCTCGCCTGTTGTACATCTTTATTTTATATACATTATATGTTGTAATTTTTTGTGTACAATAAAGAATAAATAAAAAATAAAATATCAATATATATAATATTATTTTTTTTAAACTAGACCCAGTTATATGTACTGTAGGTGGGTACTTAATCAATACGTTGATTTATTTACTTATCTACTTAGCTCCTATCTATCAAAGGACTTACGAGTTAGTAAAATAAATTTCTTAGATTCCTAAACGAGATACGAAGAATAACAAGTAAATAAGACAGGATTACCTAATTACTACCTTTTTATCCCAGAATTATACCCGTGAAGGGGATATAGTCCTATTATTCAAATCCTTCCAACGTAATTTAGTAACAAACATCTTCACAGTTTCACATTTAACAATTTTAAGATGTTATCGTCTAAATATCATTTTATTAACTAAATTTAAAAGACATGAGACCCTTATATCAGCAATATAATTATATCAGATGGCCAATAAATGCAGCTTACGTATTTAACAAAAGTATCGTGTTTCATTCATTTTATCGGATCCTGATATTCAGCACCCCTTATAATAAATATGCTCATACATAACGTACATTTTGATGTCGTTACAAAGGAACAAAAAGCTCTGATACAAATACATAAAACACTCGAAACGTTGAAAGTGGATAATGCCCATCATTATAAATTCATGTGCTTTTGTCGTTTACAGTATTTATTTTGAAACTTGTCAAGGGGGGTAAACCCTCTTTTCGCTTGAAAGCTCCCGAAAGTGCGTTAAAGGCGTCAGGCGGCGCCGAGGGTGCTTGCTATTGGTTCTATGGATCCCCTCCAGTTAGAGACTCCGCCCTGATGAGAATTTTCCTCGGTTCACAGCGCCAACGTTACTTCATTCAGTAACCGGGTGTCACAGTGATAGGTAGTTGTGTTGTAACTCACTACGGACTTTTCGAAGTTGTGAATCTGAATCATCGTATACACTGAGTCAACGTAGTGTGCTTGCCATAAGTGACGTTTGTTTATATCCTTGTGCAACCATACAGTTTTATGCACGCTATGAGTGACCCTGCTGCCCTTGCTGGCATGCTACCTTTTGATTCCATTGGCTTGTATGAACAGCCAAAACCGAGGTTTATATTTAAAATGCCGCGAGTTGTTCCTGACCAGAAAGCGAAATTTGAATCTGACGACTTATTTAAAAGATTAAGCAGAGAAAGCGAGGTAAGTAGGTAATTTTTTGCAACTGTCTTACATAAATCCGAGACATATTATTTTAACGACAAAATATACCATTTTATATAATAACAGGAAAATATGCTGAAATATTATGTCATTGTTGATTTTACATGTTATTCCAAGGATTGGGAATTCATTATAGTCATTACTCTATACCTACATACATGTAAATATTATATATTCTTCTTAATTATTTTATCAAATAAATATTTGAGTAATGCTATTTTAAAATGGATGATAATGGAATGGTAACTTACGTATAGCTTATAACTTAGTATTTTTAGATATAATAAAAAAAACCGACGTCAAGTTTTTTATTACACCTAGTAGTAGGTACTATTAGGTATATCTAATAAAAAATACCAGTGTTAATATGTTATACTAAATATCATTAATAATATTCCAGTTATTGGCGGAGTTTGGGTATCTATTACCTAAATAGCTACATTATAAATATCCACACATATCTGAATACGTACCTATTTATAGTTGTAATATGTGATCTTAACCACATATCAGTACTGTAATGTTGTGAAGATACATTAAATTTTAAGTTAAACTAAAATAAAGTTTTAAACGGTGTATTGGTATTGAACCGAGTTAGCCTTATCAAATCTACTGGAAGGAATTATCGGCCCATCTCTCTGCTGCCTTCATAATCAAAAATCCTCGAAAAGGTAGTTAATAATATAATATATAATGCATAGATAAATCATTGAAAATCATATCGACAGACTACACACCGGAATTGACCACATCGCGCACGTTCTTCAAAAACTGACCTTTACTTGTAACAAATGAACCTACGTCCATGAAATATTTGTTATAACTACGTGATAAATGTTGCCCTACGTCATTGGCAGCATAATTAGTTCTAGCCGATGAAATATTCAATAATTGTGCATGTCTTTTACGTTTAGCAGGTACACGCAATTTTAACATACCAGTCACAAGGAAGTGCAGTCCAAAGCGCCCCAACATACGTCATAAAATAGTTTTTTTTATACAACTTAGAATGGCAAACAAGCTGACGGCCCATCTGATGGAACGTGGTAACCGTCGCCTATAAGCAGTACCATGGACATAACAAAGTATACTGTTTCGCCCATGCAAATCCATTCCCGAATAGATTACTCCTATGATGCGATCTGCGATGATCTGGTCTTTATCTGACTTAGACGACTCGAATATGGAATCGAAATGTTTACACAAACCATTTGATTTCAAACCTGCTGTTTTAGTTGTAATATTTGGCAATATAGTAATGTTTGATCTAATAGGTAAAGGTACTTCGATCATTCCGTTACATCTACTAAAGATGGCCTCATTTTCGTCAAATATATATCCATAAAAAATCGCGATTCCATCTTAATACTAAATAAGCTGTATTGAATTAAGTTTATCTACTTGTGCACTACGATACCAGACAAATAAAAATTAGTAAACCTATAGACAAGGTTTCAAACTTATAATTAATCTTCAAAAAACCTATATGTTTAGATTTTGCAGCTGCAGAAAAAACAGAAAACCAATTTTCTTGTTTCAAACGAGGATATTTCCTTGTGGAATTCCAAAAGAAATATATGATATATTACTTTTATGTTCATCTACGACTACGATTTGGTTTCTCCTTTCAAGATAACTAGAAAACCATCTAAGAGTCACGCCTCGTATTCCAATAACTTCGAGCTTCCGTAGTAGAATATATCAAACTTGGAAAGATCGAGAAATATTCAAAAAAAGAGATTTCTGTCTATGATCAATAGCGTCAGTTACAGTTTTTATAAGGAAATTAGCTGCTTCTTCAGTAGATCTTCCTTTACGAAAACCAAACTGGTTATGACTTATAACGTTTTGAGATTCTAAAAATTTTGTTAAGCGTAAATTTACCACCCTTTCTAGAATTTTGGAGAACACACTTAGGAGAGAAATTGGGCGATAGTTTGACGGATCAGTTTGCACACCTGTAATGCCGCTGGTGTGTGGGTGGTCATAGGCGGCGGTAGTCACTTACCATCAGGTGATCCGAATGCTCATTTGCCCCCTATGTTGTATAAAATATTATTAATAATACACAATATTATCCATAATAATATTTTATTTATTATAAAAAAGTAGTATCAACAATAAATTATTTTTTCTCCAATATTACATTACTTACTAAATGAATGAATGTTACTAAGTAACATTTAGAACTTAAAAAAAATTAAACAGAAATATCAAAAAAAACAAGTTTAAACAATCATCAAACTACCTTAAAATTAAACTACCTTCTTATTTATAAAATTAAATGATTTCTTTTATGAAAACGAAAAAAACAGTTTTAACTTAAAATTTATTTTGTATCAAAGTCTTTGCTCAATTTTACCCTGATTTAATTTAAACAATTGTCACAAATATCTGGATTTGAAGTCCAGTTTTGTTGAAGTAATGACCCTAATAAATAGAACAAATATTTCCCTTATCATCATCGTCGTTGTCGTCTGCCAGCTCTGGAACTACGTCCCTAAAAGCTGTCGCAGATTGACGTAGAAGAGATATTTGTATTTTCTGTTTTTCTAATCTTTTTCTCTGGAATTATATTTTACTTATTTTGTGCTATTCTAAAACTCACTACTTTTTATGGTTTCTTTTGAATTGTCGAAAATCCGCTTTCATCGACATTAAATATATTAACAGCTGTTAGGCCATTTACATCAATTATCTTTTCTAGTAGATCATAGAAGCTGCAAATATTTTGTTTATTAAAGCCATTTACTGTATTTATGGATGTGCTATGCAGGTGAAGGTCTTTAAAAGCGTAAAACCAAGCTTTTCCAGCTATTTTTCTGTTTTTGTTAAATTTGTAAGAAATATTATGTTATTCTGTTATATCAAATGCAAATTTTCGGACGTCACTGATAATTAATTCAAACATTTTTTTTTTCTCTGTCAGTCAAAACAGTCTGTTTGACTAGCATATGTTCTAATTCTAAATCGAATGTAGTGGGTCTCGCTTTATGCACAGTTAAACTATTGGCAATCTTATTTAGTTTTTTTGACATGACATAAAATAGTAGGCTTTGGAACAGAATATCTTGCAGAAATCTGGTTCAAACTAATTTCCTTTTTATATAAAGCCGACAATGCCTTTTCCAAGTTCACTTTATTCCATTTATAATATTTTCTTCGATCACCGTCAATCTAAAAAAACAATTCGTCGGGTAAATTGTACCAGTCAATTTAGATAACTACTAGTAGTACGATTTATAAAACCAAAAGATTAAAAAAATATGTATTTTTTGCAAAATAATCTCAAAATCTAACGCGTTCATAATTTTATAGTTTGAAAGGTAATTGTAGATATATTCAATAAAAAATACAGCAAAATTATAATTTACCTTTTCATTGAGTTATATGCTTAGAAACACGTGTCAAAATTTACATCAAACACTAACCAAATCGTATTTTTTTTTTCTTAAATACAATGCAATTGTCGGACGTCATTACAAAACGAAAAGAAGTTGAGGTCACTGTCAGTGCTTAGTTTCGTTTTGTCAGAAAAGAAAAATAGTAATGTTTAGTAGGAAATTTTGACATGGTACAAATTATCAGGCAGTACAATATACCCAACTCTCCCCTATACCTACTTTAACACGTTCCTTCACGCATCCCCGGGCCCGATAAAATGTGTTATAGCAAATATTTTTCTTATACAAATGATAACAGCTTCTAATGACGTTGTAATCTCAGCTATTCTAAATACTTAATAAAAGTACATATATCACAAACGCGATAGATCTTTAATGTTAAATGATGCTCTGTTTTATAAGATATTTGTCGTGCGCGTGCGTCTTCCTGCAGCGTAGCGAATGTGCGGGCGGGGCGTATTAGAATGGCTTGTACGTATTGATGTTGTGCGCGTACCCATGGAGAACTGCATCTATGTGCGTATGGTTCTAGAGATATTCATTAAACCGATGTAGTGTGTCGCTAGTGATTTGAAAATTTTATATGTATTTTGTATTTTTTTTTTATTTTATATTTTTTATACAAAAACTGAATTACCCGAGAGTTATACGGCTAAACGACGTTTCCTAACACTCTGCTTGGAAAACAATATTTTAGAATGATGTGAGGGGACGTAGTACTACATCACAAATCTCACTTTTGATGTTAACGGAACGTGTTAAATTTTGCTGCTCAAAAATGAACGGCGACTTCAATAGTAGCAAAATCAATGTGGGACCAGCACGGATATTTTTTTAATGAAGGTTATGCAATTGATTTGAATACCTATCAAAAGCCTCAGGTACTAACATTATAAACGTGTATATATGTTACCTCTTTGCGCGTTATCAGTTCAACAAATTGGTATGAAATTTGGTGTAAAAAGTGATACATCGCATTTATATATGTATATGGGATGATAAAAGGCATAAATCAAAATTATAAAAAATCCAAACCTATTCAATATTATTAGGTATCTTGTTAGTAATGGATAAGCTTGGATGATTAGGCCTCTCATTGTCAAATTACCTAGTATGACAAGTTCAATCTTTTTTGGCAGTTTCCGCTCCATGTTTCTTTAAAAAAATGCTCTGCCCAGGTAGTGAAATAATATCTTAAAAAGATATTAATAATTTCGAATGTATCATGAATAACCTTATGCCATCAAAAGCACTATAATATTACTCGAAAAAAGGATGATGACTTACAAAAAGAAATGAGATTCCATTAAAAAATTAAAAACAAAAAAAAAACGTAAATCTCGCAACACAGTTCTTCTACTACAAAAAGTTGTAAGCACGAGAACCAATAAGTCAGTTATTTTAGTTAGTAGCTATAGAAGCACCTATTCAGCATCTAATTATAAATTATTATCAAATTAATTACATATCAACACTTGTAGTATAGTGATCGTATAAATATTAGACATTTTTATTTCTATAATAATTATAATAACTTAACAATTACACGGCAACATATTAATAAAATAATTTATTCTTAAGTGCACTGTTAGATTTACTTGGTAATCGAAATAATTTTGTATTAGATTATTCTTTCGTAATTATGGTTATAATTATATTTTATCCATCGCAACAAGCGCGGAGCATTATTTGAACGTATTAACGTATTTCTAATAATCATTGTTTTTCATTTCAATTTAAACGAATCATGATTTTTTTCCTTTTTAGGCTAAACGCTAATTAAAATTCAAAATTTGAATTTTGTAAGATTGCTAGAAGTGCTTTAGAATTTTGATAGTCGGTGAATTTGGTAGTGACAAAATTAAAGAACTTCGACTAGCGATAATTCGTAAACTATAAAGTATATTGGCAATATAGCTAGTTATAGCATGTTCTCTTGATCACTAAGACTTCAAACTTCTTACTTTATCCGCAATGAAATTACAAGGGGGTCAAATGTGAGTCGCTTCAAGAAAAGGATGGTATGGTACTATTGTGCCTCCTTATATAATGAAGTTTGAGCGTGAAATTGTCTTGAAAATATTATAGGTACATATTTATTGTAATTTTTTTATAGGTGAGGTACACTGGATACCGTGATCGTCCACCAGAGGAGCGACAGATGCGGTTTACCAGTGGCTGCAGGGAGGGACACACAGAGATTGCGTTTACGGCCACCGGAACCAACCTACAGCTCGTGTTCGACCACTCGCCCTACAATAACCGGGGCTGTGACTTTCAGAAGGAAAACGGCAAGGTAAAATTAAAATACAACAACTTTTAACAATTTATTGCAAAATAGAAGACAAAGACAGTGTAAATAAATAAAGCAGAAGTTCTCAGAGAGTTGCTGAGACAATGCAACGTCTTGGCGCATTGTGAAAAATACCTATTTTTGCATCTGTGGAAAGTACCTAGCCTAATGCATGTATCAGAATAATACTATTATCTTTTTATCTTTGTATGTCTCATTCTTCAACATAGATGCCTTTACAAAATAACGCACAGTGCGCTGTGAATTTTTAATGTAAAATTTGATTTTTTTTATTTCACAGTAAAGTGGAATAGAAAAGGCAATTACAAACCTAGCAATAATGTTTACTTTTTAAAGTTTATTTCTCAATAAATTAGGCATAGAAGACGATTCTAAAGCTAAAATATTGAAATAATTAGTATAATATATAATACAAAATAATATTAAATACAAACTGGTGCCCGCGACTGCATCTGCGCAGAATTAGTACTTCGAGTAGCTTATTTTCTTCTCTAAGGTTCTTATTTTCTTATCTATATTTATACCAAAATTCATCAAAATTCGTTTTGCGGTTTAGTCGTGGAGGCGTAACAGACAGACAGAGTTACTTTGAGTGACCCTTGCATATTGCATAATATACATATGTAAATTGAAACTAAATATTTTTGATGTTAATCTCACTATATATAAATATTAGGTATAAACGCTATAGTTTATAAAGATAGATATACGGATATATATGATGATTGATGGTAATGCATAAGTTATAGGTGGCTATTGCAATATGTTCTTATATTATACGTTATTTTTTGTTCAGCATAAACATGTAGATTTTACGATTTAGAAACGTAGAGCCACATAGAACTGGTCGTGAGAAAAACATAGCGTGCCTAAATTTTTGCTTCTTACCTTTAAGGATTGACTCTGCGATTTGTCGATAGTCATTTAAAATGCAATTCTAATAGGAACTACAGGCGTTTAAATTTAAATGGTAAGTTATTGGGTATGATTAGGATGCGTGGTATAAGAACATTGTCTTCCTTGGCTTCTTATAAATATATGAGTATATCTATACCCAATTTATTTATTTTTCTGTTAAATTAGGTACCCAAATATGCACCGCTGGAATCAAGCGGTTAATTTATATGATACCTAGTAGATACATTGGTAGACAAAATAAAGGCACATGATTCATAGTCATACAGTGTAAGTAGGCCTGGTAATGATATCATTCGTCATCAGGCGATGTCTCGTCATCAACGGCTAACGTTGTTTCCGGCCCACATTTTCATAACCAAAATTAAGACATAAATAACTTTGAAGCGGCTAATGAAAAAGTAAAGCCGTAACACCGCATATAACGCCTTGGTCACGCTCTCTGTTCGACCAGCTGAGTGGCACTGAATGACATTTTTTTCTATAGACAATTATTTGCTTTATATAATATGGAACACGTTTTGAGGCATGTTCAGGCATTAATAAGAAATTTATCTAATATGGCAGATATAGATACGTGTTCACGTAAATGTTTATAAAATAGTATTTATTAGGAATATTTATACCGGAGTGTGAAAAAATTGGCAATAGCGTAGGCGAGGTTATTGTTCCATTATTATCTACTTATTTTAAATTCACGCAAAAAGCAAGTTGAAAATCATAGCGATATCTTGAGAATCATATACATTTTTTACCGAATTGACGGAAATTACTAGCCTGTGAAGTAACTTCTATAATAAATTCCGTTAAAAAAATATTTGAATTGAGGCATTTCGTACTCTCGAATTGCATATTTAACGTCATAATAGTTCCATATCGATCTGACAGAGTTTGCATTGGCAAATTAAACTAATATGCATCTAACATATTTGTGCGATGCCGCTGCCTCCGAGAGTCAGTAGGTGCGTCGGCTGGCACAAAGCACTCTCCCCCGAAGAGCCTCAGTCTTTGCTGCAGGCGCGTTGCAGGTTTTCGAAGGATCAGGTGCGTGAGCACCACTATAAATCGTCTTCAGAAGAACGACGACGATGACCACGATCATTTATAACGAGGACGAAGCCGGTGAGCGATGAGGTGACGAGATGGACTGGAGTCAACGAAATAAAAGATGGATCTTGAATAAATTCTTGATGAGGATGAGGCGAGGATACTAGTTTTTCGCTGAGGTTTTTTCTGTTAGTTGTTCGCTCTCTTGAGAGTTCAACTGCGCTATGACTATTGACCCGTTTGGGCCCTATTTTTATACCTATCTGTCGCCGCTGGCCTGGCTGGCGGACCGGCGGCCAACTAGCCTCCTCACACCCTCAGAATATTTATTTTACTTCCCTTAAATCTATTAACAAATCGATATAGGACTTACGTTTATTGGTAGGCATACTCATAGATAACAATCTATCCATGACTTGTGCGCTGCGCGGCGTGTGGTTCGCGAACAATTCGCAGAATCGCGAGTCGCGGTTTTTATATCATCCCCCTCTCCTTGCCCCTCATATAAATATTTGGCTGAGAACGGGGCCGCGCCTCAGTCGGTCGAAGACTGCCGCGCAACGCAGATTACAAACGTTTCTCCCGTTTCTCGGGGAAGTCTTGGTTGTACCAGCCTACGTTCTATTGGTATTTAGTTATTTTATGAGACCCTATTACCTACCTATCTATTTTCTGTCTATTTTTACTATTTTAAGAAGAAGTAAAACGAGGCAAGAGGAAATCCTTTATTTCTCTTAAGCTAAACTTAAGTTTTGAACTATTACTATTATGTTTTATTACTTATCTATTTACTATGCATTTATAACAATAATAAATAATAATAATAATTGTAATTTTCTAGATCATATAGATATCTATATGATTTCTATGAGAAAATTACAATTGAAACTATTTCCTATGAAAATTGTGCCTATTTCTATCGCTATTCTGAACCTGTTACAACGTTGGGTCGTTAACAAATCACTATTTCTATATATTATTGTCCTATTCTATTGTTTGTTGTCTTTGTTTCACTATACAATATGTACTATTTTAACTATACAACAATAGACAACAAACTATAAACTATTTCGAAATATAAAAACTATACTATTTGGATGATTCTATTCTTGATTGAATTTTCAACGGCTCTTCGTATTTCATACATTTTTTTTTTATTTTACACTTTAATTTGCTATCAAACCTGAAAATCTAACTTTTTCTATTATGGCACTGGAAAAAAGCTGGATTCTAAAACATATATATTATATACAAAAATTTTACTTTGAAGAGCCAATTTCTGTCTTCTGACATGTCTCTAGTACAAAACAAAAGCTTTGACGTTTAATAATAACCCAGTTTTAGAAATAAATAGATTATTTGCACTGAAATAGAAATCCTTAATAAATGAACTTTTAACGTGTTTGTGTAATTTTGTTAATAATATTAAATATAATTGAAAATACTGCATTATATTTTGTCTCTTTACTTTTACATCAGTCTCCTGCTACATAAAAATTTTATGAAATTATCAAAGTGTGCGTAATCTAGTTCGTTGGTGTTCTGTTGAAATGAACGGTCGAAGTGAAGTTAGCTAATGATCGTTTGCCTACGTCTCGCTCGTGGATCTTGAAGTCGCAGCGGCGAGTTGTTTGAGAGAGGTCGCGGTCAGTCAGCTCCTCAGTATCCTGCACGTAAGTATGACAAAGTCAGTAATTACCAGCTATTTTCTACCGGTTAAATCTATTAATATATTGAAATACTTGTATAGATTTGCTTTGATTTAACATTGAAATGGTGTGTAGACTTTGTTATTAACCAAATACTAAGATATTCTCAGTCTCCTGTCCTCAGTCTTCTGCCAATTTTTGGGCAGGAGACTGAGATTGAACCAGGATACTGAGACTTAGTATTAATTTTGGAAATGGTTATCTATTTAATACTCAACTTTTTTACTAATTATAGATTCCCTTACTCGTTTTATACTAAATTATTAAGCAATCGTATTAAATAGCAGTTAACCCAGGGTTCGTCGCTAGGCAACTACTAATACAATCGCTCACTATTGTGTGAAAAATATTTTAAGTTCTCTATTTAATTAAAGGGTTATTTATTAATCTATGTAAGATAGTAAAATTATTTCCATCAATAAATAAGGTATTTATTCATGCTTAAGGCACATACATTAATGAGATCTTTAGTAACAGCTGTGAGGAAGCGCGTCTCTACAGATTTTTGCAGAAAGCTACTAAAAGTGGTCTATATCCAAATTACGCATTGTATCAGCTCTGTGGCGTTTTTACCTAGTAGTACGCCGAGTTAATTAAAATACAAACCACATTCATAGCATAACTTATTGTTTACAAAAAATAGCAAAGCCTTCAATATATCTAATATTACGTAGATATAGACCCCAGTATTTTCTTTTCAATTGAGACTGTTATTAGCAGCCCAACCATAGACCAAACTTCTAAGAAACTTATTTATACTTTTGGAGAATCGACGATGAATATTCGTAAAAGGAAATCTAGTATAAATAAAATCATTAGATCTTCTTAAGTCAAAGAAAATGAAGATATGTGCAATGACAGAAACATTGTAAAGGCATTAAATTAAAAGCAATCGTCAAATTAAAAAATCAACTATAAAAACGAAGTTTGATGACAAAAGCTACAAAAACAAAAAAATTAAAAGTTTTTTTTACAAGAGAAAAGAGAGAACAGACTGGAATCAGTTGATTGTTTTGCCTAATTTGTGGTGCATCGTATAATGTAGGCACCACATGAAAAGATTGGGTCCAATGTGTTCTCTGTGATCAGTAGGCACAAACTGGTTGTATCATAAGTGACCTCATCTCCTTTACATCTCCGGAGTACTTATAAGACTGCGACTACATATGAATACTGAAATTTAATTAGCATTTAAGTTATTAATTTTTTTAAAAGATTTTTCATTTGTTTTTTAATATATAGGTATTTTCTACTGACTATTCAAAAAAAATTTTGTTTGTTCTTGGCATAAAATTAAAACTCAATAATAATTAACAATATTACTTAAAAAGCCATAAAAAGGTTATGAAGAGTTTCGAGTTTTATGTTTCTGATTTTTTCCGTGAGTTTTATGTTCTAATCTATTTCAAACGATTCTTCATTAAGTGAAAATATTAATTGTTTAGTACTTTAGTAATTTGATTACAATAAATATTGGTTTACGATGATTTATTATTAATAATCTCAGTACCCTGTTTCCAACCTCAATCTCCTGGACACTAATATTTTTTAAAAGACAATAATAATCACATAGCTTGTTTTTTTGATCAATATAAAAACAATCTAAGCTTTAGTTTAAACTACTTCTTTTGCCTAAAATGCAAAACAAAAGTCCGTGCCGGAATTACCATGGTTTTCGTCCTTCTTAAATAGAATCACCCATTTACAATTCCTATTACTGTGGGAGCGGCTGCCCGGAACAATACTACATACTATATACTGTAACTTGCCAATACAAACTATTTCAAACTGATGCCAATTCTAACTTAATCTAATTGTTCTTTCCTGAGTAGAATACGAAATTGTTATTGTTAATAGATTGAATTGTTACCTATATTAAATTTAAGAAAAAACCTGCCGAATGCGTTTGGAAATTTTAACAATGTTATTTGTTCACATCTTAGTCCTAAATGAAACTACTATATAATCTAAATATAAATGACTCAATTTTTTTAACAAATTTAATATCTTAATCTATCCATGACTCTATGTATACTCGAACCCTAGTGTATCCTAGGTGGCTCCAGTGTAGACTAGATATGTAAAAAGTATGGTAATATACTAGATATTATAAGTAAAAGTGAACTAACGTAAATATTAAGTATCTATTTATTTAAATTTTTGGTAAATTACTTCTCGTATATTCATTACTGAAATGTAAAATGTTTAATTCAGCTATATAAATCTACCTCGTGTTATATACTCAATTATTATTCGTGTATTACGTTAGTACCCGTTTTATTGAATTGAACCCCTAAAGTATCTATAGGCCACCCGTTGTGCATTCATATGAATACTTATATTTATTTACATTCGGTTCATTTAACTACGCACTGGAGTGTGATAGAACTGGGGTTATTTCCTCTCATAGGAATCATCAAACTTATAGATACATTTTAACAACAGAGTTATATATATTAAAATTCTTTAATGTACAGATATATCTATATATATATATATATATAATTTTTGTTATTCTAAAATTCTACGCTTTGTGCATTATGTATTAAATAGTATATTAGGGTTTTTTCAGGATCGCTAACACGCAAGTGACATCTCTAGTGTTACTAGTGTCCATAGGCTACAGTGACCGTTTACCATTAGATGTGTTGTATGCTTGTTTGCCACCTTTGTAGTATAAAAAATACTGATGTTTGAGATCTTACTAGTCCACAAAGCCTATGTTGCTATATTTGCAATAATAAACTTTATTTCTTTAAACAAAGTTAACCTATGGTACAATATAACTATGACCCCACACTAGGCAAAGCCTGTCTCTGAAGAAGTCAAAACTATAAATTTAACAGTTATAGTGCGGCGAACAGAATAATAACAAACAGTGCAATATAAACTTTACACAGTAAGTACCTATCTAAAATCTGGAATGTTTATGGAAAGTATTCATCCTTTTGGTACCTATAACAGGTAGGGGGAAAGGGGACGGCAACTAGCGTTAAGTCAACCTCCACGCGATCCTCTCTGAAAACTATCATGATTAATTCGTTATGAAGAGTCAATTAATATCTTTTATAGTCACCTATCATTCCTTACTGGTGCCCTATTAGTGTATACCGATAGCGTAGGCGAGGTTACAATTCCATTATTATCTACTAGCTGTATTACGTAAGTTCACCTGCGTGAATTAGTATTTAAAGTATCCTATGAGTATGTATACTGGTAGTATAATATTTGCATCTAATAATTTAAGTCCATAATTGTACAAAACGAACACAAATGTTCAACAATTGAAACTAAATTGAAAACGTACAATTTGGCCTGCGCGCTTAATTGTACGCTTTCATTTCAGTTGGCAAGTGTCGCTAGGGAGCAGTCGGAAAAACATTTCCCCTGAAATCGATAAGAGAAAACAGCGTTGCTATTGGTTGGCGTCGCGGCGACGCACCCACCCGCCAATATGGCTGCCGCCGACGCTTTGCATTCGATCCCTTTTCTCAATATCTCATTTAATCTACCCTCTTGACTTGACATTAATTACATTTTATATGTACTTACACCAATGTAAAAAAAGTATAGCTATTGCTAAAATTGTCATAACCATAATCGTAGCAAAGAAATATACTATATTGAGTGCGTATATAAAAAGACTAGGTGTTTGTCAATTCAAATAGTTTGAAATTTAGCGTAGATTAATTTTGTATGATCTGTTTCAATATGAAAATATTAAACAAACAATTAACCCAACTCTAAAACATTCTCATGATACCTAATAGCAGTAGAAATTAAAAATCTATAAATTGATCGAATTCGTTACTAGTTTCATTTAAAGAGTATTCATTAAGATCTAATGAAATAAATCATAATACATAGTACTACCACGTGCTGAATCATTATTTCAACTCATTTAGAATCGACTAGGTGAGATCAGTATGTACTCATAATCTGAATGGAATCATTATCTACAATAATACGGTAATGGAATATTTTCAATATCAATAAAATGTTTTACAAAATACAAAGAAGTTGAGAAATTATTTTATTCCAGTCTGAATTTACTACGAAAAATAGACGTACATACCAATATATACGTGATTCTATATAACACGTATTTGACATTGTAGTAGTTGATTTGATTTGTTCACAAACGTTAAGTTTTATGTAAATATATAATGAAGTAAATTATATTTTAACACATTTAATTTAAAAATAGGACGAAATATTTATATATTTGTCTACAGCAACCAAGAATATATAAATAATATATAAACATTATATAAAAAAACAACGTTAAATGTGTTACAGAAAACATATGGCAAGCGTATTTCGATATATTTTTTCCTAAAAATACAAAAACGACAGAAGCAGTTATTAATGAAATTGCATGGTTCCTACAAAGCGTACCAATTAAAGCATTGTATGGCGCAGATGCCGGAATGGTGAGCACGCGATCTCGAATAACTTCGCTTGCCTTATGTCGTTCAGTCCTGTCTGTTCATCAAACTAAAACTGGCACTCATAGGAAGCTAGATAACGGCAAAGCGAACAACTAAAGAAAAGATAATTTGCCTGTTTGGTTAAGAAACTATTTGGAACGTTTGAAAAAAAAATTAAGATTAAAATAATGACCTACGGAATAGGAATACAAGTACATCATTATTTCTTAGTAAAATAAACGACACACTTAAGTTTTCGTTCAACTACAATAAGAGTATTAGCGAGTAACATGGATGGGATGTATTAAAATACAAAAAAAAATACATATAATCACGCTCACTCTATCAAGAGTGTACAACCATAGTACAAATGCAGAGGGAGACTATACATTTATTACTTTCCTATTAATGTTATAAATTATTTTCAAACTTTCCTACATCCCGATTATAGATTGAACATTTTCGTACTCAATATGGCCTTCAATTTAGATGTATTGAAGTACCTAATATACCATATATATACTTTAATGGATTCTATTATCTATTTCCACCAAAGCGCATAGCGATACAATTTTACAAAATCTCTTCTTTCTCTCTCTTTTCTATATTTTTTTTAGATATTTTGTAAAATAGCATCACCTTTTTTAGGCGTTTAAAATTTATTTTAAATATAATAATACAACAGATTTTTTATTATTACTTACATTAGTGTCTTTGTTTTTGCTTAACAAAATAGGTAGAGGACCCTGAATATAAGGGGTATTTATAAGAAATGCTCGTGCCATAAAAACTTTATCTTTAGAGGGGCCACTTCTGTTGAACATGTGACTGATGAATAATTGCTCGCTTTCTCGTAGACTTTTGCTATTTCTGCCACCAACGGCGCGTTCCAAAGTTTGTTTTTTTTTTTTGTTTCTTTCGGTCTATATTTTTTGTACCATAAATTCTGTCGTCCGAAGACATCCGGTATAGTTCCCTAATACAAAGTAAATTATACGATTTATTAAATTAATAATATTAACGTCCTTATTTGATTTATTCTTTCCATGTTAGTGATTTCTAAAACACTACAAATATTTAATTTCCTTCTACCGAAGAATAAGAACAATAACCAACATTGTTTTTGACTTAGTTACGAATAAATATAAGAATCAACATAAGATACTTTACTTTTACAATTAGGTTTAAATTTCGAAGCTGTAATATTTATGGTTAATAGTAATGCATCCTTAGAATATCACAATGTATTCTGTAGTGTCCATGGTGCTGTTCATGTCTGTAGGCAATGGTTACAACTGTCCATAATTGGACCGTAGGCTTGTTTCTTATTCCATTAATGAAATATTTTTCTTTGTTATCAGGCGCACATAGTATCTCGTTTTATTATGAACGGAGTGTGCGTACGATGGCGAGGATGGATCGACTTGGAGCGGCTCGATGGAGCTGGCTGCCTTGAACTTGATGAAGAGCGCGCAGCCATAGAAGACGCCGCACTTCGTGATCAAATTGAACGGTATAATCAAAGACTGAGAGATTTTGAAGATAAACAGCGTGCCTACCGTGAACATGGCGAGGAACTGCGTGCTCATTCACATGTCCATGCGCAGCGCTGTCACCAAGCCCGACAGCCACCCCATGCCGCCCACCCGACTCATCCACACCCGCCGCACCCGGTCCACATCAAGCCACATTCGCAAGGCTCACTTATATCTTAAATTATATTCTAATATTGATGTCCTAATACCACCCAACTATCTATTATTATTTTATAATTAAACTATAATTCCTAATTCATATGAAAGGCATATGAATTAGGACGCAACATAAAACTTAAAGAATATAGTTTTGTTCCCTTAGTCTTGCTTATCTTTTGATAGATGATTCGATTCGAAAAGACGGGTTCGGTGTTAGAATTTTATAGAAGCTTATACCCAGATACATAAACATTTATATATAGTTCCATTACGATTTACAAAATGTGTAATCAACCATTGTGTGCATATTATGTGATAATGGCATATTGCTAATTTTCAAATGCATTGCAGGGAGTCAGTGGATGCAGGTGGCTCAGGACCATTCTGTTATGGCGGTCTATGAGGGAAGCCTATGTTCAGCAGTGGACAAACAATGGCTAAATTGATGATGATGATACATCGATACATACTAAACAGGAATAACAAATATCACGCGGATAAAGTCACAGGAATCAACTACTAGTAAACAATAAACAAGAACACCGAATGTTTATGAGTTTATGTTATTGGATAGATTACTTACTTCAGTGAAATTCATTTATGCGTATCGTAACAATTGTTATTGATTAATTTGATGTAAGTAGAACAAACAGTAACATATATTTTATCTATACTCCTTTACAGCGTTTTACGTAACCATGTCTATAGGAATATTCAATTAAACTTTAATAATAATTCCAGATTTTAATGCCAATGACATTATCGCCAAAAAGAGACGTTAACACTTATACTCGTATAGCCTACATACTTTTAAATAGTTAGTCATTTGTATACTTAATAAGTAAGTACCTATATGTATTTAAAGTATTTCGTTGGAATGTTAGTACATAATAGTTAGTATTTATTCTGATACCGCATTAACTAACTACAATTTTACTTACATTATACATAATATACATAGTTTGAATTAAATTATAAATTCACTGACATGCAAAGTCCTCAATACTAAACCTTTTAAGACAAGCGGAATCTAATGCTGATCGTAAATATGAAACTTTGTACTTAAACGTCATATTTTTATTACAATCGTCACTTGTTGGTCAGAAATGAATGTAATACTATTTTAAAGAATATGCTCTGTATTCAGCGCCGCTTTTTAGCTTCTGATTACATAATTATGGGTATTTTGTATATCAATGGATATACTTATTACTTAAAATGTAAAAATAATATTAAAATAGATGCTTATTATTTAAATTAAATTTTCTTCACTGCTTTTCAAACTATAAACTATTTGCTAAATAACTATGTACTTATAATTATTTCACCAAATTATCATTAATTATATTTTGACAATTTTTACTTATCAATTATTAATAAATAATATACTTAAATTATTTATATATTTTGAAAAGTCTTTATTTACAATATGGAAAACCATAGATATAATTACTACAATATTTAAAAAAAATGTATTAAATCGTTATCACTATTGATTAATTTTGTATTACCTACTTGTAATAATGTTCTTGTTTAACTTGTGTAATACGTTGTTTATTTTTTAATTGATTTTATAACATAATTAGACAAGTATAAATGTGATAGTAATGTAAATATATCTTTATAATATTTTACATACTTTTTTACATACCAAAACCCCTAATCCTTGCTACTGATGTGAAAGTTATACGGTGGCTAATAAACTCTCTTACAATCATAATATTTTGAAAAGATCATAGACTACTTTTTATCCCAATCATATAGACGAAGTCGCGGACACAGATTGTAATTAAAAATATAAATATAACTTAACCAGAGTTGTGAAATGTAAATAGATATTAACTAAGGACCTATCTAATATTTCCAAACATTAACTCCGATTAGGATTTAACAAAGTTGTGAGAAGTTACAACTATTTTATGTACCTACTTCATATTATGGCGACCTAATTCTTTTCATTTGCACAAGAATGGATGAACACACGTTATTTATTGTAAAATTATGTGCGCGTACAAATTTACTGTTGTTCCCGCAACTTAGTCCATATGAATTTGATCGTAGACAAACGAGGATAAGGAAATTGTTAATAATTAGGATTAGCAATTCAAATGCAAGCAATAGGTATACCCACTCTGTCAGATCGAACTTTCTGCTGCGATGTTTCCCTAGAAATCATAGTGGTTATTATTATCTTATGTTCGTCCTTATTCGAGCTATTATTTTACTTTCATAAAACAATAACATAGGCGTGATAACTATTTCATTTCAATCATTATAAAAATATTTATATCTAGAGAACATTCTCATCCTATAAATAGGAAAAACGTCTTGCTGACTTTTTTCAGTAATAAACGATTTTATTTTTGTAAACATTGTATTAAAGCACCTAAGTATTGTATAATTAAATGAATTACATATTGCATATCATGCAGGAACGGTCGGCGTCGGCGCAGCAGTGGCAACACGCGCGGCACACCTGTGCACTGGTCGTCCGCGCCGCCCTTCACCGCCCTCGCTCATTATACGCAATTTAGCTAACTAAAGGAAATGTTCACATTCATGCTCGTTGAACACGATCCATGGTTGATTGCTTGTTTTAAATAGTGCTGTAAACATAACAGTTACGTATGTATGACGCTTTTTTACTATACTATGGTTAGTGGCAAACAAGCATACAATCCGTCTGATGGTAATTGGTAAGCCGTAGCCTAAAAACGCCTGTAACACCAGGGATGTCACGAGTGCTTCACAGACCCTTAAAATACGATAATTATTCGTTTTCTACTACTAACCCTGTTGTAAATTCAACATAAGCAGGTATATCTTGATTTCATATCTTTTTTTATGGGTGATAATGAAATAGTAATCCCACCCACGCTATCGGTATATACCGGCACCAGTGAAGAATGATAGATGAGAATGAAGCAGGTCAGTTAGTCTATCGTGACGAATTCAACAAGAATTTTTCACAATGGTTTCCAAGGGGAAATATATATATATGTGTACATGGGGGGCATATTGCTAACAATGGGGCTGTCAAACTCCATTGCTAACAATCCCTTTCCCCCCTATCCATAAATATTGTGAGCAAGGATGGACCTATCTCTGACAGATATCTCATCCAGTCAACCCAATACAGTTCAAGAGCATGTCGTTAGCGGACAGCTAAAGTGCACGTATGTATTGCTTATACATAAACAAATATACAAATAAACAGTTAAATGAAATATTAATATATATTAGAATATTACATAATAACTTATACTATAAATAATTATAATACCTGCCTACTTATATAAATGAATGTTAAAATAAATGAATATCTACCCAATGTGGATTAATTTATTAAAAATTATGGCGTTCGGTTAGCTCAAATTACGGTATTAACCCTATAGTCTAGGACAAATTTTAAATTTGAGTCTGAATCTATACACAAAAATATTTTATATATCAATTTAATTAGTTCTTATAAGTATATGGACAATCTTTACCATTAATTTCTCGGAAAAACTATCTAAGCTGACTCATCTTAATGACTCATTTCTTGCTAAATGTACGTTTACCTGGTTCGACTGCGAGCGTTTTATATAGTATCGCAAAATAACGCCACTAGCATAAACACTCTATATATATTCCATTGTCTATACTAATTTTAAGTTCTAAATAATAATTTTAAAATCCCTATATATCTATTATCAGAAAAACCAGTGAGAACGTTTTATTGACTATTATGTTACAGATAAGTTTACATAAGATTATAGTATTTTATTTTACTAAATTTAATACCAACGTCTCTACTGAAGATTACACAATATTATTTAAATATTACATAGATTAAGAATAGTTTTTCTAATGGATGATAATGGAATAGTAACCCCGCCTGCGCTAACAGTATACGGTGGCGGGGTACTAGTGAGGGATGATAGGTGAGAATGAAAAGGCAGATCAGTTAGCCCATCGTGATGAACACACCTGGAATTCAGCACGATGGTTTCCAGGGGGAACCACGTGGAGGTCAACCTGATAGCGTATATTGCTAGCTATAGGACTGGAAGTCCGCATTACTAACAACCCTTTCCTCCCAGATTAAGGATAGTATATTCATATAGGTACTGTGGCTGCTTACTAGCCAGCCGGTCCAACTTTGCCTATGTGGAGTTTGATTTTCTACTTTGGGCTCTACGTTACAATCATCAGGCATCTCTATGATAACAATATGTATGTAGTAAAGAAAGACGTAGACGATAGTAAAGCCGATAGTAACACGATAATAGTAAAAAAAAAAAATAATAAATAATGAATGACATTTTTTATTGGTGATGATGATGAGGAAGTATCTATAAGATAGGAACATTAAACTATATAAGAAAATATAAGACAAGACAATAAGTACAATAAGTGTAGAAGGCAAGCACTCCTGCAAGTGCCTACAGGCTGAAATTAAATAACAGTTGCACTAGAACAATTTTTGACGTATTTAGACATTAGCACGGTGTATCCTACTATATTAATTACAAACTGTACATTTAATGAAGGAAGAAAGATTCTTGAGTTGAGAATCCGTACGGGCAAACGCAGTGTAGGACGACCCCCACTAGATGGAGTGACGACCTCAAATGCATTGCAGGGAGTCAGTGGACGCAGGTGGCTCAGGACCGTTCCTTATGGCAGTCTAAAGGGGAGACCTATGTCTAGCAATGGACGAATAATGGCTGAAATGATGATGATGTACATTTAAGTACATTATATATATATATATATATATATATATATATATATATATATATATATATATATATATATATATATATATATATATATATATACATATATAGGTTTCGCAGGAAAATCGATATATTAGGGATATCACATAATCACAGATCTCGAATAATCTAATAAATTACGTTTTACGTCTGAAAAATATCTAGTAATACAATAATACATTCAATGACATGTCGATTCATTGAGTAAAATAAAGTATTATTATAAAATTATTTATGTTTAATTTAATAACTTCAAATCTTTTGCTTGTCAGACAGTCCTCGTTTAATTCATTAAAATTTTCATTTCTATCTAATAAATAAACACTTCAGATTTCCTTTTCACTAAACTAAATCAATTTAGTACCTAACTTTGATAGATTATCTACTATATATATATATATATATATATATATATATATATATATATATATATATATATATATATATATATATATACTAGATTTTTTCAATAAGAAGACGTATTCTTTAACATTTAATATCGTTATGTTTCGTGATTTCATGATTTCACGAAATCTCTAATTCGATGTGACATAATAATACATTTATATAGATTCCAAATATACAAAAATATTATGTTTATTTATCTAAATAGACATTTTTTAACAGGAAGTATTAATATATTATAAAAACTTCGCCAAGTTACTAAATATCTACCTCTATTATTATATTTTATGCGGAACTGAGCATTATCCAAATACGATACTATCATTCCTTTATTGTGACGTACGGCACCTTGACTGTCAAATTTGAGCAGGTACCTACTACGCCCTTTATTGTTGATCTGTGATCGATACCTATAAAAAACTTGGCTTGTAAAAGGCAAAAATCGAAGAATTTTATCCAGATCTCTTACAACGAACCCGTGATTTATCAGACCATTCTTTTTGCGCAAAAAGCGCAGGTCAGTGTCGGAGCGAAGCACCGAAAGGGCATTTCGTGTAATCCGCTGCAAAGCGTGGGAACGACCACGAACCGTGCGCACTTGATTATACTAACACTTATTTCAATGGTTTTTAATACAGGAGCAAATTTCGAGATATAAACCCAATTTTTATCATATGAAATTTAAATTATGGTAAAATGCCAATTATCAAATTCACATACTACTGACAACACGACTATCGATTTGCAATATTTGCTAATAAGTAGCTCATAAACATAAATACATATAGTATAATAAAATTGTAACAGGTCGTTGTCTGTACATAGAAGATATATAAGAAAAACTATTAGGAATTTTTATCTGTTTGTCTATACGTTTGTGCACGCTAATCTTAAAAACGGCTTAACCGATTTGAGTGCGGTTTTCACTCATGCGTTGTGAATTACTCCAATTAATATTGAGTGTTTGATCTATTTCAATTAGTTTATAAATAAAAAAGTTATATCAATCTAAAGAGTCACATATAAAGTGCTATAAAATAACCGATCAGTTGAATTGGCTGAAACTTTATGAAGGTATTACGATATAAATACCATTTAAGTATATAATACAATATAAGACCGGATTCATGAAGAATTCTAATGAGAATGATATACGGGAACTACATAGTTAGAAGCGGGCAACGCGCGAGAAACGGCTAGTACTAAAAGAACCTTGAATATCCTATTGTTTAGCGTTACTCAAATACAATACTTTATATATATTTAAGTAGCTATTTTGCTAAGTAGGTATTTAGTACAATGAAAGATACTATGATTTTTCTAGCAATGCTAAGCGTAATAACTACCTAGTAAGAAATAACCATCCATATTTTTTTTGATGGGTGAAAATGGTATGGTATCCCCGCCTGCGCTAACGGTATACGCTTGCGGAGCACCAGTGAAGGGTGATAGATGAGAATGAAAAC